CCACGCTACACTATACACTACGCCCATCCCCTGACTCCATCCCTCCTGCGATGACAAGCTCTCCACTATGGATTCCAGCAGCTGCTCCTTCCGAAGGTTTCTGCCGTCGCGCTTCTGCGGCAGCCCCAACATAGCGCACAGCTGCCGCAGGTCGGAAGTGCTCTTGGCCTCCAACTCGGTCCGCAACCATGCCGCGCCTCCCTCTCCATGTCCCTCTCGCAGGCGCTGCACCTCTGGCTCCTGCTGCCCTGCTTCCTGTATCGGAATTTGCAGGGATATCAGAAGCAGACACCTATTGGAGCACAAGAAAGCAGCGTCTCAACTAAGTTGAACTGTACACTGCACCCATCCCCTAACACAAATTGGGTATCTTAACAAAGATTGCAAGTCTTATATCTAGATGTCTTTCACGAAACCGTCCTCAACGTTCGGATGTGCCGGTGCCTGTCAGGGATTTTGCTTGGATACCAAAAGCAGACACCCATCCCCGAACACAACCCACTTCAGCACAAACAGCTTCTGTGAAAAGTTAAACACCGCTCTACGCCCATCCCCTGACTCCATCCCTCCTGCGATGAGAAGCTCTCCACTATGGATTCCAGCAGCTGCTCCTTCCGAAGGGTTCTGCCGTCGCGCTGCTGCGGTACTTCCAACTTCGCGCACAGCTGCCGCAGGTCGGAAGTGCTCTTGGCCTCCAACTCGGTCCGCAACCATGCCGCGCCTCCCTCTCCATGTCCCTCTCGCAGGCGCTGCACCTCTGGCTCCTGCTGCCCTGCTTCCTGTATCGGAATTTGCAGGGATATCAGAAGCAGACACCTATTGGAGCACAAGAAAGCAGCGTCTCAACTAAGTTGAACTGTACACTGCACCCATCCCCTAACACAAATTGGGTATCTTAACAAAGATTGCAAGTCTTATATCTAGATGTCTTTCACGAAACCGTCCTCAACGTTCGGATGTGCCGGTGCCTGTCAGGGATTTTGCTTGGATACCAAAAGCAGACACCCATCCCCGAACACAACCCACTTCAGCACAAACAGCTTCTGTGAAAAGTTAAACACCGCTCTACGCCCATCCCCTGACTCCATCCCTCCTGCGATGAGAAGCTCTCCACTATGGATTCCAGCAGCTGCTCCTTCCGAAGGGTTCTGCCGTCGCGCTGCTGCGGTACTTCCAACTTCGCGCACAGCTGCCGCAGGTCGGAAGTGCTCTTGGCCTCCAACTCGGTCCGCAACCATGCCGCGCCTCCCTCTCCATGTCCCTCTCGCAGGCGCTGCACCTCTGGCTCCTGCTGCCCTGCTTCCTGTATGGGAATTTGCAGGGATATCAGAAGCAGACACCTATTGGAGCACAAGAAAACAGCATCTCAACTAAGTTGAACTGTACACTGCACCCATCCCCTAACACAAATTGGGTATCTTAACAAAGATTGTTGGGTATCTGAACAAAGATTGAAAGTCTTATATCTAGATGTCTTTCTCAAAACCATCCTCAACGTTCGGATGTGCCGGTTCCTGTCAGGGACTTTGCATGGACACCAAAAGCAGACACCCATCCCCGAACACAACCCTCCCTGCGAAGAGCAGCTCTCCACTATCCAGTCTAGCCAACACTCACTTCAACACAAACAGCTTGCGCGCAAAATTGCACTAAACACTACGCCCATCCCCTTACTCCATCCCTCCTGCGATGAGAAGCTATCCACTACGGCTTCCAGCAGCTGCTCCTTCCGAAGGGCTGTGCCGTCGCGCTGCTGCGGCAGCCCCAACAAAGCGCACAGCCGTCGCAAGTCGGCGCGGTTCTTGGCCTCCAACTCGGTCCGCAACCACGCCGCGCCTCCCTCCCGGTGTCCGTCTCGCAGCCGCTGTGCCTCTTGCTCCTGCTGACCCGCTGCCTCCGCGTTTCGCAGAACTGCGTCCTGCAGACTGGCCATGGTCCGCGCGCCTCTTGACGAGAAGCTTCTGAGGTGTGTTGGAACTTCTTGCAAGTACATTCTTCACGACTCTTGCCTTGCTGTACGTTCCCGGCTACAGTCTGTGGAGACTTGCGCGAACTCACTTGGAAATTGCTGCGGTCTCTCTGCTTGAGCCACGAACACGCAACGAAACAATTTCATGAACATCTGCTTTATGCTGGCTTTGCCACCTACTATCTATACATACATATATACATCTATATAAGAATACTATGGCAGCCAGCGTGCTGGCTTTGCCATCTAGATTATGGGAGCCAGCTCACTGGCTTTCCCACTCCACTATGATGGCAGCCAGCGTGCTG